GCGCCATTGCACTCCAGCCTGGGTAACATGAGTGAAACTCCGTCTCAAAAAAAAAAAAAAAAAAAAAAAAAAAAATCACACTGGTGGCAAAGGATCAAATGAGAACAATGCTTGAAGGTCACTGGAAGGCCACAGCAGAAATTCATATGAGGGAAAGGGCCTAAACAAGAGCAGCATTGACCATGGTAATACTAAGATGGTATTTGCCATTTTCATTGTTGACATTTGCATGGATGATACAAAAGCAACAGTGGATAAAATGCTGGTCCCTTAGCATGAACCATGGCAGTGACACCAAACCATACTTGTAGTAATTGCCTTCATTACATATGCTCATGGGGGAAAGCCAGTTTCATTTAAGAATGCCCTTGAGAAAGGAGTAAAAATTATTAATTTTAATAAATCTCGACCTTTAAATATGTCTTTTGTCTGTATGATGAAGTTAGAAGTACATATAGCACACTCGGTTGCATACAGAGGGTTTTCTCAAGGAAATAATACCAGCTCAACTAGCCACTTTTTTCATAGAACACCAGAAGGACTAACAGACAAACTATGGTTGTTCAGATTTAGCTATGGCAGTTCTCTTCTTGAAAATGAACAAGGTGAGCCGGTCACGGTGGCTCATGCCTGTAATCCCAGCACTTTGGGAGGCTGAGGTGGGTGAATCACCTGAGGTTAGGAGCTTGAGACCAGCCTGACCAATACGGTGAGGCTTTCAAAAAAAAAGAAAATGAACAAAGCGAGCCAACTTCTTCCATAAAAACAACGAATGGTATTTGTTGGCAATAATAAAATTTGGGCTTTCAAGTGAAAATTATAATTTTGGAAAGCTTCTTTCTGTCATTATGAGTTTGACAACTTCCCAACTGCCTGATACGATTGATGGTGATATTTTTGTAAATTTTTTGATATTATATAATAATTGTTTTGACATTTGGGAGAGCTGTATAACTCAGTGAATTAGTATTTTCTAAATGATGGATGCATGATGTTGCAAAAGCATGACTGGGTAAAGTGCATGAAAGGACAAGATTGGCTGTGCATGGTGGCTCACGCCTCTAATCCCAGCACTTTGGGAGGCCGAGGCGAGTGGATCACCTGAAGTCAGGAGTTCGAGGCCAGCCTGGCCAAAATGGCGAAACCCCGTCTCTACTAAAACTAAGCCAGTCATGGTGGCGGGCACCTGTAATCCCAGGCAGGAGAATTGCTTGAACCCAGGAGGCAGAGGTTGCAGTGAGTCGAGATCACACCACTGCACTCCGGCCTGGGGGACAGGGTAAGACTCTGTCAAAAAAAAAGAAAAAAAAAAAAGGACAAGATTGACTACCATTTTAATGTAACAGAGTACAAAAAGGTAACTGATAAAGTTTTAGATTCCAAAGTGTTAGCCTTTAAGAAATTACCGTTATCTGAGAAGGCTATTAAAATGCTTCTCCCCACTATGCATGGTGGCTTATGCCTGTAATTGCAGCACTTTAGGAGGCAAGGTGGGAGGATCCCTGAGCCCAGGAGTTTGATATCAGTCTGGGCAACATAGCAAGATTCCATGTATTAAAAAAAAAAGTTTTTCTTTTAATAAGCTGGTCATAATGATGCACATCTATGGTCCTAGCTACTTGGGAGGCTGAGGCAGGAGGATTGCCTGAGCCCAAGAGTCTATAGTAAGCTGGGATTGTGCTGCTGCGCTCTAGCTGGGCAACAGAGTGAGACCTTGTGTCTAAAAAATAATAAATAGGCTGGGCGCGGTGGCTCACGCCTGTAATCCCAGCACTTTGGGAGGCCAAGGCAGGTGGATCATGAGGTCAAGAGATCAAGACCATCCTGGTCAACATGGTGAAACCCTGCCTCTACTAAAAATACAAAAAATTAGCTGGGCATGGTGGCGCGTGCCTGTAATCCCAGCTACTCAGGAGGCTGAGGCAGGAGAATTGCCTGAACCCAGGAGGTGGAGGTTGTGGTGAGCTGAGATCGCACCATTGCACTCCAGCCTGGGTAACAAGAGTGAAACTCCGTCTCAATAAATAAATAAATAAGTAAGTAAGTAAAATAAATGAAATGCTCTTTGTTTCCCAACTGCATATTTGTGTGGTGCTGGCTTTTCTTCATATATTCCAACCAAAACAACATATTGCAACAGGTTGAATGCAGAAACATGAGAATCCAGCTTGGTCCTGCTAAGCCAAATGTTAAAAAAAATGTACAAAAACTGTAAACCAATGCCACTCTTTTCACTAATTTTTTTTGCTTTTGAAAGTATAGTTATTATTTTAAAAATACATTTAAATATAAAGGTTGATTACCTTTATATTTAAATGAATAAAATAATTTAAACGTCTTAGGTCTAATTTCTAATATAGTAAACATCAATATATCTTATACATGTAAACAAGAACTTTGGGGGCTCTCAATTTATTTTTCTTGAGACAGAGTCTTACTCTGTTGCCAGGCTAGAGTACAGTGGCACGATCTTGGCTTGCTACAACTTCTGCCTCCCAGGTTCAAGCGATCCTCCTGCCTGAGCCTCCTGAGTACCTGGGATTACAGGCGCCTGCCACTACACCCGGATAACTTTTGCATTTTTAGTAGAGATGGGGTTTTGCCATGTTAGCTAGGCTGGTCTTGAACTCCTGACCTCAAGTGATCTGCTGGCCTCAGCCTCCCAAAGTGCTGGGATTACAGGTATGAGCCACTGTGCCCAGCCTCAATAATTTTTAAGAGTGCAAAAGGGCCCTGAGGCCAAAACAGTTTGAGAAACACCTGGTGGAAATTATTCTTGAAGTAAAATGGCATTTCTTTAAAAATTCAGTAATTTTGACTTTTCCCTCTCTGAAACTACCCTCCCTTAATCTGATTTTGTGAGGTTTCATTGCAGTTTTTAAAAATTCAGGGACCACACTCTAGCCAAATGATTATCAGATCTAGGTATTCATTTTAGGATGAATATATTAGGATATATATATATATATATATATCAAATATATATAATATATTTCAGATCAATACTTAATACGCTAATGTTATTTAATTTTTCTGAAAAGTTAATTTCAGGGATGGTTTAAATAATGCAAGCAATACTTATAAACTACAATTATACTCCACTGTTCTTCCCAGAAACTCAAATGCTTTTGACAGTCAGTTTAACATCATGTGTGCAAAATGTCCTCAGAGAAGCTGATAAAACACAATTTGGATTTTTACAACAGTGATTTTCAAAGAGGTAGGCATGAGAGGTGGGAATGGGGTTCACCTACCCTCCCTGAGGGGAACATCAGAATGTGAGGTGGGGGGAACATCAGAATGTGAGGTGGACGTAACTACAGAAGTTTCTTCTGTCCACACCAGATAGATATATTAATATTTACTGACCTTCTATTCACTGTCTTCTCTTATAGACTTCCTGCTGTTGTAAGCAACCACTACAGATTTCTCAGAAGTACTGTGGCAAATAAAAATGATTGAGAATCATTACTCTACAATTTTCTATTCTCCTAGAGAGATAGTTTAAAATAAAATAATAATAATAATTTTCCTGGGCCGGGCGCGGTGGCTCAAGCCTGTAATCCCAGCACTTTGGGAGGCCGAGGTGGGTGGATCACGAGGTCAAGAGATCAAGACCATCCTGGTCAACAAGGTGAAACCCTGTCTCTACTAAAACTACAAAAAGTTAGCTGGGCATGGTGGCGCGTGCCTGTAATCCCAGCTACTCAGGAGGCTGAGGCAGGAGAATTGCCTAACCCAGGAAGCGGAGGTTGTGGTGAGCCGAGATCGCGCCATTGC